ACGTTGGGTGTCTGCAGTGTATTTTATTGATATATATGAGGTTTCTGTAAGTATATATTAAATCTTAAATTTGATTTTATTTCATATAAGATTTCATGAAACTCGCCTCGAAGTTTAAATTTCTGCCCGCCAAGTCTCGCAAAGCAAAGTTTTAAGACCCGTTTCATGACATCGGATATGAAAACGTCTTTCAAGATCCTACATATCTCATGCTAAAAGACTCAAACTAACGAAATATTATCTAGAACACTACACATTATCGTGAGTTAATAAAATAAGCAAAGTCCTTTATTCAACGGGATAACCCCCCCGCCCCCTCCCCCGCCCCCTCCCCCAAAGTTGCAAAATTTTGACTGCTATGTACATTTTAAGAACTCATTCTAAAGACCTTTAAAAATACTGTTAGCATCAAAAGATATCTCCTGTGTCAGTTTGGACAGGCGAAATTGGTGGGAATATTACCAACAAAACCGCCTAAATATAGCACACCGGGGAATCGGGAGCTGAAAGGTCATTGGATCATAGATTTTACGCAGAGTATTGGGTAAATACACAAGTGTGTATGCTGTTCACTCAAATTTCTGCTGCTGTTACAATTTTGTTATATTACCTCAGTAGACCTCTATTTCGTTAAGTTTATAGTGTACACAAATATTTCATGTTGTGACGCAATCCGGACCGTACTAACTTCTGTAAATCGATATAGCTACATCTATTAAGAATTTCCGCAAATTAAATATAGCAGGTTCATTTCAAGGGTAAATTGAGGTTTATGTTTTCCATAAGAACATAAGTAGATGATTTGGTACAATTTTCTTCAAAAGCACTCAATGAAATCCTAACTTGTGCGGAATACCCCTTTAACATAACAGGGCACTATATATATATATTTATTTAATTCACTTCATATTCTGATAATATACAATGTAGCTGTGTTAGTAATAAGAGTATGCAAGTCTAGAAATGAAATAACGGATATTTTCACCGCTGCCTGTCCAGTCGAGTTTCTATCTCATAAATTATAATGATAACGTTCACGTGTACACGTGTTTGGCGTGTAAATGGCGTGTACATGATGACACGTGTCCATTAACCAGCATGAATTGACATGATGTCCGCTCTTCAAATACAATTGTTTGTTTCTGTCTTAATAACTCGCCTTCATGTCTGCTACACGTGTATTGTTTTTCATGGTGTTTCTTAAAAGCAAATGAGCACAAACAAGTGTCCATTCTCGACCTTAATTGGCAGCACTGCTTGTTTCCGCAACCCGTTCTTTACTGATAGATTGGGTCTCGGAAGAATCATGGAAACCACACCACGCCGGGGCTTCACACGGTATGGACCACGCGGTTGGACAAGTGTCAGTTGCAACACATGCTGGTACAAAATACGATTATAAATCTCATTTCTCTGATGATTTCTACAGAGTCAATTGTAAACGGTCTCCAAACAATAAAATACAAAGAAACTACGAGTGCACGCGACATGTACCCTTGAAGGAGTTCTAATCAGACCGGACTACAGTGGACACAGCATCAAGTGTACCTAAATAAGATTGACTTAATATGATGCCGACACGCCAGGAGATACACAGACAATTGTGCTGAAGACAGGAGACTAGCCACGATGTTTCCAATCGTCCATCGACCATGAAATGTGATTGGAATGCTTAATGCATGCTTAATTTAGTCCGCAGATTGACCAGTGAATCAGCGAGTAAACTAGCGTCCTTCAGAACGGATGACAAGGGGCAGATGACCAGCTGACCACTAGTCAACCTAGGTTAGTGCGGAACAATCTGCTGTCAACATTTGCTGTTGATTAACCTTGTTGAGTCGTCTAAGTATGGATTCAGCTTGATCAAAATGAAAGCAATGATACACAGGGTCTAAAGTTAGACACATTAACATAACACACAAAACACACAGCAGGCAAGCGTGTTCACTTTACCAGGAACAAGTCTAGCCATTGTCTTTTTGACTTATCAAAGGTGGACGCATAAAATCAATTGTTCAGATATATTTACCTCCCTAATACTTATTACTTCCGTATAGCATGTGGGACATCTAGTTAAACATATAGCATGGATCTTACGTATCAGTTTAAACTTCTTTTCTTTCTCAGAAAGGGAGAAATCAAGAATTTAAAATATATCAACGAAAGAGAAAAAACAAAGAACGCATCGTGAATACTGTTATATCTCGGGTTTTTTTTCTTTAGAACTGAGAATGTATAAATTCAAATTAAAGATTACTAAGCAAATTTGATAATGGAGGTGAGGCGGTTTGGTTCGGTATCAACCTACTAAGTCTCGTTACGTAACCACCTTCTCAACATCTTGCCGGTTTCATCTAGTTAGAGGGCCAATTTACGACCCATTGTTCACGTGTAACCAGAATTGCTTTTGGTATCGATGACAAAATCTAACACGAAATCTTATTTGAAATTTCGCCGTGACGTTGACGGGAATAAGTTGTATGGAAATACTAGAAATGATGAAACACATAAACCAAGCACAATTATCCTGTTTTTTTTGTCTGTATGTTATACTGTATGCCACAACAAAAGTGTCGGTTCCAGCCATTTTCTCTGTCAACATGGCTGACAAGTATTCTTGACGGGCGTGAAGCATTGCCACGAGGTTAACGAGACGCCCATTTCTCACGGGAACTAATTATCACGTTGTTATTTTGAATTTTGAAAAACTTTATTTCATACAACACTCCGTCACGATTGATAGAAACAAAGGAAATAGAATTTAATCAAATGTTGACAGTTGTGAAATGATAGAGAACATTCCGTGCGTGACGCCACCGATATGGCGATCACAAAGCGCTATTTTATAACAAGATAATTTAATTCAAATGTCAAAAATCTGTAAGATATCACAAACGGCAATGACTACACGACAATATGGCGAGAACAACTGCATAAATAAGGGGGACAAAAGAGCTGGATATTGGTGGCTGTGGCAGTAGACAGGCGATCCTATCATCTCAAGTCTAAAGCATTACGTACCTATTGAATATTCATTTCTATTAGAAACACACTTATATTTTGAAATTTAATGGAATCTTTCTGTAAAATAATTGCCATTGAAATGAAGCTTGTTATTTCTACGAAACGAGAAACCGTAAGTTGGAGTAATGCAAACATCACATGACACCATTATCAGAATCGCGAGGCCAACTTCATACCAATGTTTTTGTAATGGTGTGAATACTCCGCGGTGTTTACACAGCTAATCAGAACCGATGTGCTGTTGGGACAAAATCCCCACATCAGGGTACACCTAGAGCCGTAATGATATTTCTTTTTATGCTACTCCATCTTGATTAAGAAAATATAAACAGTCTGCGGTGAAATAGATTGAATTGTGTAATAGAATTGTATGATATATTGATATAGAACTTAAGATACATGTCGTCATGCGAACGAACTACTGGAACAGATTATGGCGGTATGTAAATACAATTTCATGGCTGTCAAAACCTCGATCCATGCATTGTCTGTAGTAGGACCAGACCATTATAGTTTTCCGTTATTTCCTCGCGTGGAAATTGAAAACATTGTTCAAAATTGATCTTCTGATCGTGTGCACATGCAAGTGCAACCGGAAAAGCACAACGGCAGGAGAGCTGTACAACTATTTACAGATAACACACAAAAGGGTCAAAGGTCACACGTCGGGGATGGTCGAGTGGCACTTTAGACAAGCCGAACACAGTGACTGATTGGAATTAGTTTTCGTTACAATTGCCATGTGAACTGTAACTTAATTTTTCTCTCTTTGCACACAAAGTGTTTTCATATAATCTTCCTCTATCACATTCAACGCACGTTCAATCAGAAATGCACAATCGTCTCACTGTCTAATTGGTTTCGGGTATTTTGTAATAACAAATCATGTCGCCTCTTTTTGGGCTGGAATCCTCCCGATGGGCAGTTACATTCTTCATTAAATTAGCAAAGAGGACCATTAGCCTTCCTTGTATCTCCAACACAGAGAAGTAAAAATTAAAGTGAACACTAGATTTTTATCAAAACAGCCATCAGGTGCTTTAGTTTGCACGTACATGATGTGATATACACATTGATGTCGCTAACACCATGTCTAAGATGGAGAAATAATCGTGTTTTAGGATGTTGTGACGGAGTAGATTTTAGCAATTTGGTGTCGTAGATCTGGAGTTCCACAGAGCGGTTACAGTGCCGTGTTATGAACACACAAGTATATTAATCCGTCATAAATGTCGATGTACTTTATAATTTACTGATCACGTGACTAATATCCAACACGTATGGGAATTCAGTATCCTCGTTATGCATGGATATAGAATGAAATTAATTGACTGCAAATTGAGCTGTATCTCTATCAATTATTTGCACTTTCTCAATTTTCGTCAGCGTCCTGTGAGCTGTTGAACTGGTACGGATGTTTCGGAGATTGCACGTTCTGTCACCGAGATCTGACTGCAATGCTTAAGAAGTAGATCTTACGTAGGACTCTCAGCTGCAATGCAAAGGCACTGACATCAACGTCAACAGCTACGTGGTCTCCCGTTGGAACACATTTCTAGATCCCAGCCCCACAGCATGAAACCCTTTCCTAAACCAACATGTGGTCCTTTATCAAACAACATGGTCGTGAAACAAGCGAAGCGAGAGTAATGGACACTTCCGTTCCCAACAATCTATTCCCAATTTGTTCTTATTTGTTCTAATCTAATGATGGTATTTTTCCATAGATGCATATCGCGACTTGACATTCAGTATCTACCATGACAAGACACTAACATCGATAACACAATGACGTCTCTCTAGGAACACCCATATATTGTCTGATGTACCGGAAGCATACAACGCGAAGACTAAAATATATTCGAAATTACCCCCGCTTTTCGTCACTACATCAACTACGAACCGAATATATGCAACCTGACAAGAGGGTAAACAAAAGTGGCGAAGATATCGTTGCCCTGACAGGCAGCACATACCGACATCCACAGCGGGCTGGGTATCTGACGTATCGCCCGACCTTGTGTTGTGGGCGTCGCCTCGCTCGTCCGTCACGGATCGACCCCGTATCCGCATCATCTAGATGCTTGTTCTCGCGTTTTTGTGATGTTTGAGTTCGCGTAGTGTAATGATCAGTTGTTTCCGACGATCTGCGGTCGAATGTACGATGATGGCCTTGATTGAGGTATATATCACCCCAGAGGCGTACTGCTTGGGAACTGTCACATTCAAACGCTAATTTGTGACTGAGGATTCCAGCGTTGTACATTGTGTTGGGTAAAAGTTTAGGGTCCCAGAGCGACAACAAAACAGAAAGTATCACACATACACCCTCGATATTGGAAGCTAAACCAGTATAGAGCTGAGATGGTAATCTCAAGTCTGTTTATATCACTAACGTACAGACGGGACGTGACCCAGAGTGGCGCTAACTGTAGTACACTGTACACCTCGAATTTGGTGGCATCGAGCAAAAGGTTCATCATGAAATAGCATAAGATGTCGGTTGTACCAGGTAGAATATAACCATGTTAGAAAAGTTTGATTGTTGGTAGAAAAGGAGAGGAATGTTTGCGTTTGGTGAGCAAAATCAAAGGGTCACTCAAACACTTCTAATGAATAAAAAAATGATTTTGATAATAAATCCCTACATTATGTCATCATATTATTATATTTTGCCACAGGTTTCACAGATAAAATACTTTGTTCAGTTTCATATATACAGTATACAGTACTATACTCCAACGATGGGGAAATACGAACCCAATTGTTTATACCGTCACAACAAAGTAGCTTACTTGGTTGGCATACCCACTATATACATGTATCATAACCTTGTATTATTTACATCCTGTCAGTAAATAACATACCAACTGCCTCATCAAAATCTAAATTTGGCCCAAAAATAAACTCATTGGACTACTTCAGACAAGAGATAGCAGCCGCACCGTTAGAGCTATTTATCCAGGCTTACATTATGTATACACAAGAAATATTGCATACTCGTTCAAGAAAATATCATTTTCAACTTGATGAGCACTATTATCTGGAATACGACAGACAGAAAAACAGACAAACTGTGTTTAAGGAAAAAAGCGAACATTTTAGAAATATTTTCGTTTTTTCCCCAGAGTGATAAAACTGAAAACGTACATATGCTTCAATAACGGTCTCGTAATATACATAAAAAAAAACCGCGGTTGCCGGTCTATGTTTCTGGGTACATTTCTGGTGAAATACGTTTTTTTATGAAAGACGAAGTACTGTCTGTCCTTTATCTCATAACCCCTGCTAAGTATTGTGTTTCTGGGCGTGTACACAACTGGAGCGCATTATCTCCCCTATGTGTTCTAGTGGAGCCAGGTACGAGAGGCATGTGAGAAATGTCTCCGACTTCATCGCACAAGTTTTACTTGCAACCATATAAAATTTACCGTATTTATTAGCATAGCAAACACAAATAAAAGTCCTCATTACAATTGCAACCGCAAAGAATAGCTAGAATTGCCCAGATTCGTTACTATAGCAAGCAAAGAATTTGCCTGTCTTCATTACTACAGCAATCGAAGAGAATTGGCAAGTTTCATTACCATGGCAACCACAGAGAATTGTGTTATCTTCATTACTATTCATTACTATTACAATCACAATAAATAAATAAATTCCAAGCTTCAATACCATAGCAACGACAGAGAATTGCCCAACTTCAATACCAAAGCAACTACAGGCAATTGCCTGTCTTCATTACAAGAGCACCCATAGAAAATTAACCATTTTCATTTTCTTGGCAACCATAGAGATCTTTATCACAATGTCACTGTCTCTTCCCTACCTTACGTGGGCGCGTGTCCTTTGACTAAATAACATTAATCCAATATAATCGGTTGAGTTTAATATGATAGGGCGCAGCCCTGTATTATGTAACACAATTGTAAATTTGACGATTTATGCGCATTGCGAATTGCGTTTTTGGAAATGAAGCAATGTCGAACCCAATACAGAGTTTATTACAGAAAATATTATGAAATATGCATCACAAGGCATTAATATCAGTTGCAGAAGACTGTTTGCGGCGTGTAATTGCAGGGGGATTTAAATGTTAATTGCCGTTTTTCTTTCCCGTGACCATTTTTCGTTTATGCACGCAAACGTTTAGACGACATCAACTGCGTCACAGGCGATTAATCAATATGAGGAACCCCTATGTAATTAGATCCCGTGTTATACTGACCAGTTTACCACTTTCGGACTCCGATGACCGGTAATTCTAGTCATTAATACATACCAGAAGTCAGTAACGCTACAAGCGTTCTTATGACACAGATTTGGACAAAATTCGAATCATAACGATGCTTGAAAAGGAGGTAAAAAGCATTTAACTGCCCCCGGCAATAGTTTTTCCTATTTCATGTTAAGCAAATAACGTAAATTGTATCACCATTTCGTCAGGTGTTTTTCCACTGCAGGGACAATAATATACTGAAGTTTTGGTTTAAACCATTTTAAAATCTTTCATGACATTACAGTTTGATACATTGTACCCCTGACGCGCTGCCTGTTCAGGAGGGCTTACGTCAGGCCTTCAGGCCGCTTGCACGAAACCGATTTTTTTAAAACTTCTAAATCAATAAACAAACTAGTGATTTATTTCATGACTTAGTGATTCGGATGTTCTCAAATTACAGCACCGGCTTAACAAAGAAATAATCTGACCACCGACAACAGGTTGGTGATGTGATCCGTTTACTTCCAGTGGGAGTACCGCAATCGTTAGTTGATTGTCGCCTTGAATAAATTCTTGACTTTCGCGATCCCGAGTGTGATACTTTCATCTGTACTCTGTCATACTGAATTACTTACACTGGCGGTATCGGTGTAATAAACCTGTCAATTATGAACGTGTGCCTTGCTAGACTGACCAGAATTTATTTTACCGAGGTCATCAATGAATCCCACATATCGGTTTGGAACACCTGGTCTTATTCTCTTTCACTTGCAAGAGTTTCCGTTTAAACCTTTTTGTTTCGTTTTGTGGTTGAATAAGATTCTGTGATCATATGAGTATTTTGTTTTTTTTTAATTGTGTACGAGTCTTTGTAGACATTGCAAACTGTGCTTCTGTATACCTATTAAGTGATTAGCACAGTATAGCACAGTACCAAATCGACCGCTACCTGTATATTAATTAATATCTAAAAAATGATTTCAAATTAAACGTGCTATCATCAGCGCTAAGCTATGTATATGGGGATCATTTCAAAGGCACTAAATTGGCCTCGTTCTAATTTAGCTTACAAGAAAATGCCTTGAAACCTTTCTAAACTACAGCAATATTGGCTTGTTTACAACGTATCTTTTTCTAATTCCAATCATCTCCGAGGCACAGTAACGCGATTAGCAGAAACACTCTCCATCACCTCCGTCCAGAAGTCATTTCGTTGAGAAGCAATTTATACAAGGTTATGTGGATGGCCCACCATTCGGGTAGCACCTGTATATACGTGGTTAACGTACAAAGGCGTATCATAACATGAATCATTATACCAATAACAAGCCGCGGACAGGCACACGAGGTCAGCCCAGCGATCAATTCACAACTGCCGAATGCAATTTATAATATGCTTTTTGTTACTTGCCGAACTTGTTTAGGCTGGATAAGACGAGGTTTTCAGGAGTCGAGAGTGGAATGTGAAGTGTGCTCTCAGTCAAACTTAGGATCAATGCGAGCGGCGCGAAACACGTGCATGAACAGGTGTGTTTATTATGTCGTCACACAACTCGGCCATTGTAACTTAAAGCCGCCGTTTTATATAGCAAATTGTAATCATAGTCATCCGTCTTACAAATGGAAGATAGTCTGCTGAAATCTAACCCCACTGTTTTGTACACAATAAATGTCTTCTGTCAGCAGAGCCCACCGTCTTACACGCGACAAATGTGTTTTGAAACCAAACCCTGCCGTCTTACACGCGATAAATATTCTTCTGTAAAAAAACAAAACATTTTCCACACTCTAAATAGCCTTCTGAAACCAAACAAACGAGAAAATAGCGTTCTGTAACCAAACCCAGCCGTCTTATACACGAGAAATAGCCTACGGTAACCAAACCCAACCGTCTTATACACGAGAAATAGCCTACTGTAACCAAACCCAACCGTCTTATACACGAGAAATAGCCTACGGTAACCAAACCAAACCGTCTTATACACGAGAAATAGCCTACGGTAACCAAACCCAACCGTCTTACATACAATAAATAGTTTACTGTTACCACCGAAGAAAGAAAAATGTCTTAAATCGATATCACAAGAAGTTTGCTCAGAAATGCGATATGTCAGCCATATTATCTACTGATATTTCACTACCTAGAAAACACGTTACAGTCAACATAAAAACGGTCGCGTAATTCATCACGTGACGTGCACATTCATTCATACACCTTTCAGTACATCTGAACTTACTGTGTGAACATGTCAAAGACATTTTTATTTTCTGTTGTGTATTAGACTACATCGTACTTCTCATGTATTCATTCATCCCAAGGGTAATTGACGGTAACACTGTGTGCTATTTGGCAATGAGGTGTCTGTATCTTTATATAATACTTCAGAAACCAGTCATACTGCCAATATCAAATGTATGAAATCGGGCCGCCCTCCCCTCGGAGTGTCCCGTTATAAAACACCACATGCATGTCTCGTCTGCTATTTATCACGTACATCTAAAAATAGAATTTAATTTGCATACATGTTGCTGATGGTATCTCGCTAATTGCTTCCCTTTGATGATAACTCTCCAATTTAAGGAGGATGGTTTGGTGTGTCACAAAAGATTGCTAACCAATTTTGCTTCCGATATGAGTGAAAAGAATCAATGAATGCGGGAAAGAAACTCCTCCGAAAGCACAGTGAGTCAACACAATGCCGATATATAGAGCAGTTTGTTTTTGATTTCGGTGACAGAAAATTAATAAAAGCCGTTCGATAATGAACAGGTCCGAAAGCAACTCTGTTGTCACCTGCCAAGTCGCCATCAAAACGTTATTAGCTTCTCACTCAAACTTCTGTTTTGATTA